CCATCCCAAAATTGTGTGGTATGAAATGCTTGCTGTAACTGTTGAGAGTTGCTGCTCAGCATGAGGCGATCGTCAACAAAGACTTTTGCGAACACCTCATCGTGAGGGATCTCGTTTGTCCACTCACCCAACAGTGTAGCCGCAGCTAACATACTAAGAGGGTCTCCCTGAGGAATTCCGACAGATGCTCCGAATCCGTTTTTAGAAACAGAACCGTTCAGCGAAGCAAATCTTTGAATGTTCTTAATCATGAACTGCCAAGTAGCAACCACTGCAGTGGGGACCCCAATGCGAAGTAAGCTTTCACATGCTTTGTCAGGAGGAACATTATCAAAGAATTTTTCGGTATCAATCGCAACACCTTGAATTGTGTTTCTAAATGAGGGGTCAAGCCTCCAGGTCGACTCACACATTAACGCAGCCGGAAGCCACGCATGAAAGGCGGATCGCCCACAAACGCCTCCGACTGAATGCTCAGAGATATTTTGCTGCTTATCATTATACATTGACAGAATGGTCTTGCAAAAGATCCTATAACACACAGGTGTAATTGTTAATGGTCGCAGATCCTTAACGGATGTTTTGCCTTGTTTCTTAGGGATACAAGTCATTTTGCAATTAAGCCAGGCCAATGGCACGCGATGCTGATTTATTGACTTGTAAAAGATATACGCCAGGAAAAGAACCGCCGAATAAGGGATCTGCTTAAGATGCGAAATCTCAAGTCCATCCAATCCAGGAACTTTTGAGGCATCCGCTTTTGCAAGAATTGCCTGTAGGTGCTGATTGATATTCAGCACTTGCTCAGAGTCATAAGATTGAGGAGCTCTCGCCTCTGACTGTGCAGGTGACATTGCTTGACGGTGTTTGTAAACATTTTCAAAGAAATCAGTGATTTCCTCGAGGAAATCGTGTAAACAATTAGTAAACCCATCCAGAATAGGGTTTTGTGGTATATTGTACCAAAATAACGATACGGAACACCCAAAATATTATAGGTAATTGTTAAGGCCCCTGTATTAGACAGTCGGCTTTGGGCTTCGGTTTTCGTGGTCAGTGTCTATACGTCCTGCACCGCCATGTGGTGACTGTGGTGATCCCCGTACCTTAGACCCATGCCAAGAGAATGCTGGCCATCAGAAAGCTGTTTGCTACAGGAAACAAGGAATCCGGATTTAGACCCAAAGTACTAAAAAAACATGAAACGGTACGGAGCCCCTGAACCCTATAAGTCTAAACCCTCAACGTAAGGAAGCCGTCCTACTTTTAGAAAGACCAAAAGTCCCCATTTACTAGTTCCGCTTTTTGGGGTTGAACCCATTTTATAGTAAGGATCCCAAAAGCAGCCGACTCGGAGCTTCTCCAGCCCTGTTCTTTAATGCGGGGTTTAGGGCTTCAGGGTTATTTTGTATATTTCATGGCAGAAAACCCTGAACAAACGTTTATGAGCCGATACCCATACACGCCATGGCAGTTCGAGAGTATCCCAGAATAGGTTGCCACGTCGTGCTAACACTCTGTGCATGGAGCAGCCTTTTGTTCTGTGAAGTGTCGCGTCTGAGGGTTCGCCAGGGGTTGCCAAGCTGCGGATAAGTGCAGAAAGAGGTCCAAGCAGAAGCAACAATATAGGGGGTCTAAATGACAAAAGCATGTTGTATCATATTGTAGTCCTTAGGGGTCATGATACCTCATGGTACCACAATGCACCCAACGAGCATCTTGAAACTATTCTGAGGCCCTTATACCTTGTGCGGGTTAATGCTAGGCTCCGATGGCGTAACAGTCGTGGGTTCAACGGTTATGCAAACTTCCACGCCAACCATTGTTGAACTGTTTAGTCTGGGTTGTGGGCTGTATCAAGGTCCAACACTGTATACTTACAAGACTCACACAGATTGCGAGGCAGCCGGGCACCCTCCTCTTCTCACGATGCATGAAAAAGCCCTAACTCCGGAGCTGGATCGTAGTATCCAGAGCCCTGCGCAGGCGCGGGAGACAGAGACAAGTTGCGAGAGTCTACAGACATGCAACAACATGGCGATCCAAAACAAAGGCCCGATTCGTCGAGTTCTTCTGGCATGCAGCACCGTCGACATCATGAGATGACATCTTTAAGTTAGCGAATCAGACCATGTTGCTGCGGGGACCGCGTAACCTCTACGCTTGGTGCTTAAGCATCTAGCGCAGCTGAAACGACCGGATAGAGACCGCATGACTGAGGTTGTCATCAATCGAATTAACGTAGCAGCGTAAACCTCAACGCCATCACTGAGCACTATTGGTAGACGGGCAACACCGCGAAAGAGCGGAGATCTGCCAAGGCATTGAGGTTTACGGCGAAGAGAGGACTATCTTCAATGACGATCTGTCCCTGTGCTCGGTTTCCCGAAGGGTCCATGTGGTCATGTAGTACAGACTTTGGACGGAACCTATGTAGGGACTACTTTAAGGCTGATAAGTATATACTGTATGGGTACATGGACCCTAAGAGTTTAAACAATGAGCTCAAACAGAAAGCTCAGACAGCAAGGTGTGAGACAACAGCTGTATAAATTTGGCCGACTGGCCAGGAGAGTTTCCCAATCTGCAATCAAATGGTCCCAATGCCTACCTTAAACGGACACAGCCGACTTTTTGTAGGCTCTCATTTAAACCCCGAGTATAAAGTCTATAGGGACCCTACTAACAAGTAGGTGGTAGTACAAGCTACAATTGACTCGATCTGATGCAAAAAAATCGCTGAATCCCTAAGACTCCACGTATACACATAGTACCTACTTTGGCCTCTAAGGTCTACAAATGATACCTACTTGGGAGTTTCAGAAAATTAGGGTACCTTATTTTGGGGTCCTTATAATAGGGATCCTATTAATTAGGGTACTGTATTAGGGTCCCCTATTTCGGAAACCCCCACTTCGTGCTATTTGGAGTCTTAGGGATTGGGACTCAGGAGCTTGGGAACTCAGCATGTCGACCGCAGATTATGTGCGGCTCGGGCTCTGGAGTCGGCAAATCATCGTCGGGCTTGGCAATGATAGCAACAATAGCAATAACAGTATATCATGATCATAATAATAATAATAAAGTCATAACTTTCTGGCGACGAATCGCTATTTATTGTCATCACATCCTTCAAACTCAAATTCAGGGGCGCGCTACCACTCGCAGCACATGAACGGGTCATGCTGCAGGACAGTTCTCCTCTGAACTCTTGAAGGTGCCAGTGCGTACGTTGCATGGGCCGTGACTTAACGCTACACATGAGTAAAGACCCTAAGGGCTAAACTACTGACACACATCTTTGCAACGAGCTCAGAGAGGCCAGCTGTCCTTGCAGTTGCTTGTGGATCTGGAGACGGAAACAACGACTCCCGACACTTCCGGCTGATGTCGAACCGAAGAATGAGTAATCAGCTGCATAGCTTGTTTAGACGTCCCTGTTACGTTCGCCAAAGCTTTTTCCGGGCTTAGGGTTTAGGATTTTAGGGATCAACCTGTCTAGGTTCTTTGAGATACAATCGCCTAGTAGTGAAAAGCTTGATATGATACAACCTCTATACCGCTTTCAGCTTGGATTTTGGAGGCATCCTCTTCCCTCAGTCGCCCGAAATGCTAAACCCCGATCCCTAAACCCTGGTCCCTCCACTCACTGAAGGATTAGGGTTTAGGGTTTAGGGTTTCAAACTCCCCCAGATCAGCTTTGCTGTATCATGCCTCGGGTCTCGTGATGCAGAGCCATATGGGTACGTCTCTCAAATAGGATCCTTTGTACAAGGGACTATTTTGGCTGTCCGAAAAGGACCCTAGTTAAGAGAACTACCAATATGGCAGACTCTTGAAATGAGGCTTGCCTTATTCGGGGGTTCTCATATTTTGCGGCTCCTACACCCCCCTGTCCCTTGGCAAGGTAGGCCGCAACCAAAAACCGAAGGAACCTGTTGTTTGGAGTTTTGTAGCTCCTCAAAGCTTGCATCATAGATCTAAACCTCCAAACCCGTAAACCCTGAACCCCATATTCGAACTCAGCTTCCCAAGAATGATGCTTTGATGGCTTTAGGACTTTCGGGATTGTCCAAGGTTCGGGCTTCCCGGAAGAAATCACGAAGCCTGACACAGAAGCCTTCAACCAACAAGGCCATCCCTAGTCAACCCCATAGCCCCAAAACCAGAAGTACCGAAAGAATGTTGATCTACTGCCGCCCATCACTGCCCAAGACAGCATCAGCTCAGTTCGTCTACAGCAAGAGAGATGGTCCCGCTCCGCCATGCCTTTGCAGAGCTTGGTTCTGATAATGGATGCACGGGTATCCAATCGCCTGCAGCCGTAGTAGTAGGAAAAAAGACAACTTCAAGCAATTGCAACAAGAGGAGGACACACATGTGTGTGTATATATATATATATGTATATATGTATATATTTTTTTTATTTATGTATGTGTATATATATATATATACACACATGAGAGAGAGAACTCCAGAGCTCTAGAGCTCCTGCTCGTGAGACTGCTCGAACTCCTTAGTTTATTTGAGGTTTAGAGTTTTTGGTTTAGGGTTCAAAGTGGTCCGAGAACTGCAGCCTGGAAGCGTGACAATGGGAGGAGGGAGCTCCGATTTGATACGATTTACTTCGGCTCGGATATGAGGAGGTAGCCGGCGCATGCAGCTCTCAAGGAGATGCCTCGGCTTTCATAAACGGCGGGTCTTCCCAACCCGGCCCCAGGACTTCGATATGTGCTCTAAAACGACTCCGATACTGAAGATTTGAACCGTTCCTAGACCACTTAGTCCTAGCTAAGATGCATGAATGACATCCTCATCGGCCGAAACTTCCCAAGGGGAACGGCCTCGGATTGCGGTTCGTAGACTTCCGCCTCGAGCAGCTGGAGCAAGTAGCCAACGCGCGGAAGGAGGCCTTCAATCGCCGCCTTCAGGGGTTTAGATGGCTTAGGGGTGTCAGGGTTTATAGGGCTTGTAGGGTTTAGGCCGCCTTCTTGAAGATGAAGGGCAGGAAAGTCGCGAGAAGCTGCTGGTCGCTTGCATGCAAGAGACGCTGGCGTAGCTGCCCGTCTGGCTTGCAAACAGCACGGTGTGGGAAATGGCAGTATGCGCATTCCGTTCCCGATGGGCACACTCCACTCTTGGAGATGTGCACGCATGGTCTGGTGCAAAAGTGTGGGTGCCCAAAACTGGCTCTGCCAAATCGTAAGTTGGCAGCACTGGGCTCAGGCACTTCTGGAATCTCTAGGCCCGGTGGCGGAGGAATATTGCGAGGGTCAGAGACTGGGAATGTGACTGTGTGTTGGCCGGTGTGCACGGGCATTTCTGGAATCTCCCGACCTGGCAGTGGAGGAACATAGCGAGGCCAAGGGAATGGGAATGTGACCGTGTCTGGGCTTCGGGTGTGCTCCGGGAATACCGGGGCTGCCACCGGTGGCATCCATCCCGAGGAAGGACCTCGCAGTCATGCTTGGTTCAGCGTGCCAAAGGGTCCTAGGCACTGTTATGGGGGGGCATTTTCCCAAATCATAAAAGTGATTCCGAATGTAATAGGAACCCTACATTCTGCTATATTATAGTAATATAGGTACTCAGTATTAGGGGGAGCTAGGGTGGGGGTTTCAGGCATGGGATCACTGCGCCAACTTCCACCGGACAACCACAGACACATCCAACAATCATGTCCTCACAAACGCCTGCCCGAGGGACCTGGTACGGCTGCCAACGCTGCTGGCATAGAACAATATGCTGCCATATTGCTTGGAAGGTACAGCAGGGTATGGGAAGGGTGTGAGCCTGGCTTGGATCAATCGGCTGAGAGCATTGCGGCACGTTGCTTTGGTGTGAGCATTGCAACTCCTGTGCCCTAAGCCCTTAACCCTGTACCGAAGCTGTACCACAGCCTAAAAACCCCAAACTCACAAGCAGCACAGAGAAGCAGGTCGAGGGAAGCCCTGAATCCCAATAAAACAACCAAACGACCCAGTGAGGGCCGCAAACAAATCTTCTGAGCGCACGTTTTTTTTGTTTACGGGGTTTAGGGCTTAGGGGTTTAGTTCTTGAGTCCAATTTAAGCCCCGACCAGAATGATGATAAACATCAAGGATCCCGTGTCGGGTTTAGGGATTAGGATTCACCCCAGAGTCGGGATTGGAGGGGGTAGGAGGGAAAAGTGGATCCTTGACCAAGATTCCAAACTCCCCGAATTAGGGGCTATAGAGTGAACCAAAAAAACAGTAAATCATGCTAGAGTTTCTCTTGGGTTTGAAAGGATCCTCCTTACTGCCGGGCTTGGTCGTGTGTTTCTTGGTTTATCTGCTGGGGGCCACAGATCCCGGGGGTGTGGCTTCAGGGTCGCGGTGGGGGTCTATGGCACACAGACTAAGATGCACCAATGTGAACCTCGACGGGGACACTTCGAAGATGCGAACCTGCTCTTGCCACATTCGAAAGCCTAATTGTACCAGGTTTAGGGTTCAGGGTATCGGGCCTTAGTTTAGGGGCCTTAATGCTTAGAAGAGGCTTTTGGGTGCATTACACAATGATCAGAATAAGAAGCCCCCAAAATAGTATTGGTAATTATTTAGGCACTTTTTTTAGGGGTTTTCTTGGCGACAGGAGTCCTCCGACTTCGACTGCATAGAGAACACGATGCTTTTCAGGACTCACAGTCGCAGGCAATGCCTTCAGCAGGCAGAAAACCCCCGATCGTTTCCTCCCAAACCAAGCATACAGCAAACCCGGAACAATTCGCTACAAACCTAATGCTAAACCCCAAACTCTGAACTGCAACCTTCTATGAGCCAGAACAACCGCATCCTAACACAGGCGAATTCGGTGACTTCGAAGGAGACAGGACGAAGATGCGTTGACCCCTTGCTCTCAGCAAGGTTCCCGAAAAGGGAGGACCCGCTGGTCTTGACACATTCCGTACGCACGGCACCCCTAGACCTTATTTAAGCCCCCAACCCCACCGAAATAAAGGTCTTGCGACTTAGCTTTTGGGCTCCAAGTTCAGCTGGCTTGAATAGAATTCTGTGGGGACAAGGTATGAAGAGGCTTCTGGGAACCTTCACAGAGAAACCCTAACAATGCAGAGGCAGCTCCACCGACAGGTCCATTTACGTGTTGCACATCAGACGCTCCTTTTCGCCAATGCGTCGCACTGGGGCGTTGAATTGTCGCTTCACTTGCGGGTGTACACGAAGGGCACATAGCCTTCCTCGGCTGTAACCCTAGGATCTAGAAACCCGGCTGCATAGACAATGGGTGCCGCCGAGACAGTGGGTGACTGCCTACTTAAACCCGATGCCAGCGTACGCAAAATCTTGCAGTGGCAAGAACCCGGCAGTCCAAAAACGATCAGTTCGGTCAGCCCCTTGCCACCTCTAAACCCTAAACCCACAAACAACTCTGGAAGCCCAATAGCGGACAAGCTGTGTGGCTGAGGGTCCGAAGGTTTTTCAGTCTAGAGCTGCCGGCCTTTGCGTGGTTTCAAGGCTCTCAAGGGGTTTCGAAGGGTTTAGGCAGCTTAGGGCCTCGGGGTTTAGAGCTTCATGGGTTTAGAATTTACGGTTTTGAGAGATGCAGACTCTGTAGGGTTCAGGGCTTAGGGTTGAGGGGAGACTATGGGTTTCTGCTCAGAGTGCCAGCGGACTTCGCAGGCAGACGTTGCCAATGCGTCAAGGTTTGAGGTCGTCATGTCCCTACCAAGTCGCTGCGAAGCACTGTTATAAGCCGACTTCTAAACATCGTTTCCTGAGTAAGAAGCACACCGAACCAAAAATCCAAAATCCAACAGTTGAAATCCTAACCTAGTTTGGGGTTAAGATTTTCCTTTCAAGAAAGCCTGAAGTTCCTCCACACACTGCATAGCCTCGCAATCCAATGTTAGCCCGGCATCTCCCTGCTGGCCCTGCTGTCTGCAGGTTTGGAGTTCCGGGTCAACTAGGCTTGATGCCTCAAAGATACGCAGATGACGGTACGTGGAAGTTTCAGCCACACGTAGCTTTACACGCCTAGCTTACGAAAACAGTCATGTAGGCAGTGAGGTGCGAACGAGGCACCTGGCGCCACTCCATCTGAAGTGGATCATCCCCGCGCCTTGCTCGACGTCACAAGGCTTCCACAGACTTTAGAGACAACTCTCAGCTTGTCTTTTGGTCTCCATGGTGATTCTCCTCCGTGTTGCTACTAGTACTAGTAGGATAAACTGAAGTCGCGCAGCAACAGCAGCAACAGTCGTAGTCGTCGTAGCAGATGCAGTGATAGTACTAATGGTAGTCAGTCGTGATGATAGTAGTAGTAGTAGTAGTAGTAGTAGCAGCAGCAGCAGCAGCAGGAGTAGTAGTAGTAGTAGTAGTAGTAGTAGTAGTAGTAGGCCGGTGCCCCTTCCTGGACCCA